CAGCCCAGAACTGGACCCGGGGCCCCAGGTGGGGTCTCCCCAGGGCAGAGTAGAGGGGGAGAAGAACCTCCCTTGACCTGCTGGCCACAAGTACATACCAATCCTACAGAGGCGAAGCCATGGGTCAGGATCTCAGGGCTGGTCCCAAAGGCACCTAGAATCATAGAATCGCTTTGGTTGGAAAAGACCTTTAAGATCCTCAAGTCCAAGAGAATCCCCAAGTCATTCTTAACTTGGGAGCTAGCCCCAACGAGCAGTGCTGGCGACGGTCCAAGGGTGACGGGACCGTGCTCGCAGGCAGCAGGAGGGAGCGTGTTTCCCTCCCCTTCCCAAGCTAGGGAGACCCGTTCCCTGGGGACACACAACGACCCAGCCCGGCTGGGACGCCAGGGTGCTGCTTATCTCCGCAGCAGCCTCCCAGACTCCGTATCCCAGCCCTTCCCCACAGCCCCATCTCCCAGCAAGTTCCATCCCTGCGCAGGAGGCAGAGCTCCCCGAGGTCTCCCCACGCCCGTGGGGACACGGGACCACGACAGCCCCCATCAGCTGCGGCTCCGCGGGTGAGGGGCAAGGCTGGCCCTTAGCTCCGCAGACACCCACCGCTCCATGTGCTGCCCCTGCCTCCCTGTCTGCCGGCATTTGCTAAATGAAGTACGTGGCTTACGGTCTGTACGTCGAGCTTTATGCTTCGGGTATGTTTTTATACACTAAAGCAGCAGGAACGGGCACCTGGACGTGTCATGGGTTTATTTTAACACCCAAAGACGCCCCAGAGAATCACGTTTGTTCTTTAACCAGAAAACAAAGGTCAGCGACTCAGTCACGAGCAAGGAACACAAATACAAGACCAGACCAGACCACAAAAAGATTAAAAGGGAAGACAGAGGCAGGATTTTGTGCCGACACCGGTGCTGACCGCAACCGAATCGCCCTGCTTTGCCCACCCAGGCCTTGTTCCACTGTGGACAGGGATGGTGGGAGCCATGCCCAGCGTGGGCAGCCGGCTGGCAGCTCCCGCCCGCAGCCGCCCG